GGTCTGATGAAAACAAGATTGAACACTTTGGCCTGAATGCTAAGCGTCACATCTGGAGGAAATCTGGCACTATCCCTACGGTGAAGCATGGTGGTAGCAGCATCATGCTGTGGGGATGTTTTTCAGCGGCAGGGACTGGGAGACTAGTCAGGATCGAGGGAAAGATGCACGGAGCAAAGTACAGAGAGATCCTTGATGAAAACCTGCTCCAGAGCGCTCAGAACCTCAGACTGGGGCGAAGGTTCACCTTCCAACCAGACAACGGCCCTAAAGCACACAGCCAAGACAAGGCAGGAGTGGCTTTGGGACAAGCCTCAATGTCCTCGAGGGGCCCAGCCAGAGCCTGGACTTGAACCCGATTGAACATCTCTGGAGAGACCTGAAAATAGCTGTGTAGCGACACTCCCCATCCAACCTGAGAGAGTTTGAGAGGATCTGCAGAGAAGAATGGGAGAAACTCCCCAAATACTGAATACTTATGTAAATGTTATATTTCTTATTTTATTTTTTATACATTCACTAACATTTCTAAAAACCTGTTTTTGGTTTGTCATTATGGGGCATTGTGTGTAGATTGATGAGAATAAAATGTTTTTTTTTTTTTTTTTGAATAAGGCTGTAATGTAACAAAATGCGAAAAAAATCTAGGGGTCTGAATACTTTCCGAATGCACTGTACCTCTGCCAGCGGAGATGGTGTGTTCATGAGAAGCAGATACATTGAAAGGAGGATGTATAAAAGCAGTCATCAATAGCAGAAGTAACCCATCACCAAAATAACCACCACCACCCCCCAGAGAAAAAAAACACACCCAGACGACCCATAATGCCCTAATCCAGCTCAAACTTTAAAGATGTGCGATTGTGATTGGAGATTATGATGAAGTGATGAGACAGAGGGGGATTAGACGAGGGTATGGGGGGAAGGGAGAGAGGGGCTGCAGTTTGATTCTCCCTCATTCACTGTCCCTCATGGATTTAAATGGAATGGTGTAAGAAATAAACAAACAGGGTGTCCACTTCCTGAAAAATAGAAAATCAGAATGCACAGTCATATGCTAAAGCAGACACAGACACACACAATCCAGAGACACTGACCACTGTTCCTTGGCAGGTATTTTATTTCATATATAGACGCTTTCTGTAATCAAATGTGAGTGCAATCAAACAACAGCAAATACAAACATTACCGATGTAGTCTGAACCAGGTACACAGGATTAACACTGGGACTCTACCTGAATTAAAGGTACACTCCACAATATGACATCATCATACACAATGGGGCAGCACTCTGCTTTAAAGACAACAGTAACAACATTTTTATCTGCCAAGAAGGCTGACCACATTGGGAAGAGTCAATAGTCAGTTTTGGCAAATTTGAATTGTGTTGGTGATTTCTGTAACCAGGAAGTTGCCCTGCAGTCTATGATGACGTCACATTGTGGAGTAGGGCATCTGGCGGCCAACCAGGGGGTGATGTCACAAAGCAGGATCAAAGATTTAGCTAAAGTTCCTAAATATTCTTAAACAACTCTATATTTCCTATTTTACAGAGACTGATTTGAATTCTACTTTAGCTTTACTCCGTAAAATCAACAGCTACGCGTGAATGTTGCTCAATGTGATCTGGGCCCGGTTTCCCGATAGCGATGGATCTTAGGCCAACGGCCGAAGATGTCAAATGCGTTTCCAAAACACCATGCGTAGAGAACGGTCGCTAAGTGCATCGTTGGAGCATGTGTTGATACAGATAGGATCGAAAGCGAGTGCTGCTCTCGGATCAGCTTACTCCATTCAAATATTTCCTTAACATAATAATTATTTCACAAAACTGACGACGGATCAGCTCCTAGAGATATTACCACCTATGGCTGCAAATATCGAAGCGGCTTATTCTATAATGCTTACCCAACAACAAATGCACTATATCACCGATTTGTTAGGCTACACATCATGAAATATATTGAAACAAATTACAGACAGTAGCCTACAAGTAGAAAAATAGAACTCAATTGATTGAACATGAAATGTATTTCAATGATTAAAATAGGCATATAGCCTACTGTTTATATTTTAACGCAGTCATCTCGGTTTTCATTTGAAGCATATTTTTATATGTCGCTTCCCACTGTTTGTATTAATTGCAAAGACATTGGCAACTTTGTTCTGAAGTTATCGGTGGTCACAGAGACTGATAAACCATGTGATTGTATGTTTAGCGGAGATCTTCTGTGTATAAAGTGACACGGGAGGGCAAAAAAGCATCTAATGACACACTTAGCTGTTCTGAGGTGGTCTGATGCAGGCATTAGATTACGAGCGTCTTCAAGTGCAACGTTAATAACGATGGTTTTGGGAAACAGCTCTGAGATTTAACGACGCTCCTACAAAGGTTCTAACGATGAGCTTAGCCTTAAGATGCTTTTGGGAAACCGGGCCAAGGTTAACTATTGATCCTGCTTTGATCAGATGAGCAGAGCGGAGTAGGTGAGACGGTGGGGTCCAGGAGAGGTCTGTTTTTGATCAAAGTGATCAGGTTAACTATTGATCATGCTTTGATCTGGTGAGGTGAGCTGAGCGGATGGGAGTCGGTGTGGTAATTCAAATTGAGAAATTCCCCGTTGTTTAACGAGATTTAAACCACAGTAAAAGTTGAACATTTAATTTGGGATGCATTTCACTGCGTCACAAAAAAAAATGCACGTACCATATCATTAGGCACTCCTTTTCAATTGAAAAAAAATGAAATTGCACTTTGTGGTGCGTGTTGGAATACTACTTTGCTGTGAAGCCAGCAGCGTTGCAAATCGAGGGCATTGGAGCGAGTGGATGGGACTGGTTTGGGATTTACCGCTCTTCTCCTTCGTTTATCTGACAACAAACAGAGAAAATAAATCAGCAGGAACCAATCAGAGGCGGTCAGGTGGGATCAGTTTGAACCAATACCATCCAGTATGTGTGGCGTGGAGCATAGGGGGTCAGGTGGGATCAGTTTTAACCAATACCTGTCCAGTAGCTGTGGCGTGGAGCAGAGGGGGTTGTGAGGGATAGGGGGGTTGTATAACCACCAACATGTAGCACGTGGACCCCCCACCCTCTGTGTGTGTGAGAGAGAGAAAGAAAGAGATACATGCATGCGCAGGGCATGGTGTGTAAGGTTGAAGGGAGGGAGGGGAAGAGATAGAGAGAGAGAGAGAGAGAGATAGAGAGAGAGAGAGAGAGAGAGGAGAGAGAGAGAGAGAGAGAGAGAGAGCTCGCGATCATCTCTCTTCTCTCTCGCTCTCGTCTCGCTCTCGCTCTTCCTCGATCTTCTCTATCTCTCTCTCGAATTAGCGACGAGAGAGAGAGAGAGAGCGACATCATGCATGTGCAGGGCATGGTGTGTAAGGTTGAAGGGAGGGGTGTGTGTGTGTTGTGCGTGTGTTTTGGGCGGTTGGGGTTGTCAGGCAGCACAGAGTCCAAGACAAGTACCCAGATTGAAACCAGTCTGGGTCCCAGTCCCCACCTCCAAACTTTTTCTTTCACACACACACCAAATACACCCCAGGTCCTCATGTCCGTGTGTAGTCAGGTGATCAATGTCAACAACACCAAAAAAAAAAAAAAAAAAACACCAGAAAACCTGGATGGTAAAATTTATCTACCATCCAGACGCTTCATCAGTCCTTAAAACAACCGCATCACCTCCAAAAACACACTCCTCCCGAGGAAAAGCAGAGTGTGTGTGTGTGGGTGTGTGTATTCATCCTCTCACGCACGCACACACACGTTGTCCACTGGGCACGTGGAGGAGGCAACTCCCCCTCTGGGTGGCTAGACCAATCACAGGAGGAGACCGGGGTCGCAGTTACCACGACTACCAGGGGTCCTCCAGATCACACTGAGAGAGATAGAGAGAGAAATGTTTATGAGGCGCCATTGTACATACAATATAAAACTGATGTTATTTACGTATTGATGTTGAGAAGTGGGTGTGCAAGTGGATCAGGAGCTGAGAATGTGAGGGGTCGGTATGTGGGTCAATCTGTGGGATAAGTCGATCTTGGACTCACCTGATGGTGGCCTACTGAAAGACCGGCTGTATCCCAATTCTTATACTAGGCTACAGCCTGTAATAGGCTTTTTGTCAAGAATAGAACATTTGTAGATTACGCTATAAATGCCATGATGCCATGTAGTAGGAATTCACTGCACACTATTCAGGACATGAAGAGCAATTTTAGACCCACAATGGAATGTTTACAGCAAAAAGTTATCATATACCATAACAGTCAGACAGACACAGACCAAATCTGACAGTCAAGAGACAAACCAAATCAGATGGACAGATCTTAGCATTATTATTAATTCAAATAACTTTTATTGATTATTTTATTAATTCACATATTGCTGTATGGAACAGATTCAGCCTACACACACACACACACACTCATGCATACCTTTATCATATTGTGCCTTGTTGCAAACAGTAAGTGCCACCATTCATCAGAGAGAAAAACAACTCAGTCTTTAGAAATACAATGACACACACTTTTTTACTTTGGTTTTTTGAACTTTGTATACTGTTCCAGAATTTTGAAGTAGTTACAGTACTGTAGTGCACACACCTTAAAAACACATTCTATCAAACACACACAGCTCAGCTGGCTGCTAAGACCTCTCTCTCTCTCGGACGGACAGACAGACAGAGACACACAGACAGACACAGACAGAGAAAGAGTGTGTTGTGCGCGTGTGTGTGTGTGTGTGTACTGTGCAAACAGGTACAGGTGGTTTATGGGAACTTGTGTTTTTATATGGACAGTCCAGTAGATCTTCTCTCTCTGTCAGGTAGAGGTCCAGACATGATCGGTCCATAGACTTAGACGACTCATCTTTGTATCTACCCATTATGGCGTCTGTGAGAGCACGGATGGACTAGACGCTGTGAGAGCACGCATGGACTAGACTAGGCTGGATTGGGGTAGGGGACAACCACAACATCAGAGATCAGAGGTGAATTAGGAGGGGGGAGGATCTGGTTGGCCAAGGTCAGCAGCTGGAGGATATAGTGGGACGAGGTCTGCCGCTGGAGGTTCTGGTTGGTCACTGTCTACCGCTGGAGGTTCTGATTGGTCGATGTCTACAGCCGGAGGTGGTTGTTGGTCGATGTCTGCCGGCGCTGATGGAGAGGGCGTGTCTTTGCTTTTCTCTGCCTCCGGGGGGTCGGGCGTCTCGATGACGACGGGTGAGGGAGGGGGAGAGGGGGGTGAGGGCCGGGGGGAGTCAGGGAGATCGTCTGCGGTAAAGGAGGAGGATTCCTCCCCCGTGTCGGCTGTATTCTCCCCAGGCAGACGGTAGACGGCCAGGGCTTCCTCCAGCACCGAGCGATACTGCCCCCGGTGGTGCAGGCGGAACTGACGCAGCGCCTCCAAGAGGTTGGTCGCCGTACTGCTGCCTCCTCCCTCCTCACTCTCCTCCTCTCCTCCACCTCCAGCACAGGCCTGGCCAGGGCAACACCATGCCACACACACACACACACACACACACACACACACACACACACACACACACACACACACACACACACACACACACGCTAGTGTCAGACACACACCAGCGTCAAACACACACAGGCACTCACACACACTTCAGACACTCTCTCACACCATACTACCCCTACCCCTGTAGCCAGCTACCCGTAGTGACATTGTCTTTGTCCAGTGAGGGAGAGGAGAATACAACAGTGCCTTCCCATTCCCCACTACAACTTCCAACACCCCAAACACAATCACACAATAAACACAAACTAGACTACGCCAAATAGTTCATGTTCATAAGCTGTCCCGGACTTTGGTGTGATTTTCTAAAAGGTTGGGACACGGTAGGAAGGAACATCAGGGAGCAGTATTCATGTAATGTGAAACCAAGTCTCGACTCTAGATGAAATATTCAATTTTGATCATGTTTGGTATTTGACGGTCCTCGAAGCCCATTCACACCCCAGCCCAGAAGAGTGGTGCTGTTGTGACTGGGCTGGAGTGGGTCATTGTGGGCTGGAGTGGGTCTTTGTGGAGGTGGGAGGTCAGGGGTGAGAGGTCAAAGAAGAGTTACTCACCCCTTCCTCTTCTCTTTGTGGGTTCAGCCTGCTGTACACCGCCTCGATCACACTGCGCCTGACCACACACACACACACACATTAGAGACATTCTCATTTGTGTGCTTGTGTGAAGCTTGATTGAAAAGTTGGATCAATAAATCATGACAGTCTCTCATACTTTCATGAAGTAAGAAGGGTGAGACATTTCTGTGATCTGAAAAGAAAATTGACAATAAAGTAGTTTTCTTCAGTGTGTGTGTGTGTGTGTGTGTGTAGCATTTACTTGCTGGCCAGGCCTCCTCCAGGCGGAAGGTTGGGGATGTTCTCAGAGGAGATGCTCCTCAGAACAGACACCAGGTCAGGAATCCCCTCCTCTCCACAGCCACCCAGCAAATCTAGAGACAGACACAGGATTAGAGTGGAAACACAACATAATAATGGACGGCCAGTTGCATCTGACCAGAATATCGGCCATCATATCCCGACGATTCTACATGTTAAAACAGCCACTGCTCATCGACACCCAGCAGGTGGTCACTTTAACACACCGTGGCGACAGCCACCCGCTGCTATTAGCCATTCGTCGGCGCAGTGTGTCCAAGCTCTTAGAAAGGATGGGTGTGTATATGTGTGTGTTCTCACCCTCTACACGTGTCTCCAGGTATTTGTCCAGTTCCTCCTCTTTCTTCAGGGCTTCCTCAGACACCTTGGGAGCTCCCGGTAAAGTCACCAACACCACACTCATGTTATCTCTGCTGCCCTGGAGACACACACATACAGAGAACGAGGCTTAGATTGTCGGTTAGAGCATGGGTTAGAGTGTGGGTTAGAGTGTGGATGTACCTTGTGCAGACAGGTGTCCACCACGGCAGTGCAGACTCTTTCCAGATCATCAAACACTTGTAGCCGGGACCTGACGAACTCACACAGCTCCTCGTTGGACATCACGTCCCAGATCCCATCGCACGCCAGCACCACAAACTCATCCCCCTCTGCAGCACGCTCTAACACACACACCTGGGGGAGGAACACACACACCTCAGCTGGAGAGATCACACACACACACACACCTCAAGAAGGAGAAAGAACTAGAGTTTACTTTAAAGCTGTGCCACAGTAATAAAGGCATTTTAAATACACACACCTCTGGCTCTGGGCTGACCAGTTGTTCTGTGGGACCCTTCCCATCCACACACTTGTAGTCATAGTCCCCCAGGGCTCTGGACACGGCCAGGGAACCATTGACCCTCTGGATCATCACTGACCCCCCTGCATTCTGGATACGCTCCTTCTCTCTGGGGTTACACGGCTTGTGGTCCTACAGCGAGAAATAGAATGTATGCATTTGAGATAGAGGCTGATGAGCTACAAATTACCTTGCATTCTAAATAACTACTCATTACATGATCAAGGTTAGAGGATGCACATTGCCTAGCTCAAACTGATCCCCTAATGGGCTGTCTCTCCATCACTCCCACCCTCTCTCTTTCCCTCCCTCTCACTCAGTATATTGTACCCGAGTAGAATATACCACTCTCAACCATCCTCCCTCTCCCCCCCCTTTCAAAAGTAGTGCCTTGCAAACGTATTCAGACCCCTTGAACTTCTTCACATTTTATTGTGATATAAAGTGGGATTAAAGTGGATTTGTCATTTTTTGTTAATCTTTTTTTAAAAGATAAATAACAATTAAATAAATAAAATGTAATTTTCAAGTCTTGCCATAGTATTTCAAGCAGATTTAGGTCAAAACTGTAACTTGGCCACTTAGGAACATTCCATGTCTTCTTGGTAAGAAACTTCATTGTAGATTTGGCCTTGTGTTATAGGTTATTGTAATGCTGAAAGGTGAATTCCTCTCCCAGTGTCTGGCGTAAAGCAGACTGAAGCAGGTTTTGGTCTAGGATTTTGCCTGTGCTTTGCCCTATCCCATTCATTTTTATCCTGAAAAACTCCCCAGTATTTACCGATGTCAAGCATACCCATACCATGATGCAGCCACCACCATGCTTGAAAATCTATAGGCTAATTTACATAATTTAGTGGAATGAAATTGGCGGGTGTGTATTTCCGAAATAATGTATTTTATTTATCACACGCACCGTATTTGTATTTATTAAGGATCCCCATTAGCTGCTGCCAAGGCAACAGCTACTCTTCCTGGGGTCCTGCAACATTAAGGCAGTTATATACAATTAAAAATATTACATTACATTATATTTCATAACACTGTACCCAATACATTTAGTGTGTTCCCTCAGGCCACTACTCCACTATCACATATTTACAATACAACATCCATGTGTACGTGTGTGTAGAGTGAGTGTCTATATGTATGTGTCTGTGTGTGTGTCTTCACAGTCCCGCTGTTCCACAAGGTGTATTTTTACCTGTTTTTAAAAAATCTGATTCTACTGCTTGCATCAGTTACCTGATGTGGAATAGAGTTCCATGTAGTCATGGCTCTATGTAGTACTGTGTGCCTCCCATAGTCAGTTATGGACTTGGGGACTGTGAAGAGACCTCTGGTGGCATGTCTTGTGGGGTGTGCATGGGTGTCCGAGCTGTGTGCCAGTATTCCAAAACAGACAGCTCGGTACATTCTGCTCGTCGACACCTCTCACAAAAACAAGCAGTGATGAAGTCAATCTCTATGTGTACTTTTAAGGGCCAGCCGTGCTGCCCTGTTCTGAGCCAACTGCAATTTTCCCAAGTACCTCTTTGTACAGTAGTCTAGGTGCGACAAAACTAGGGCCTGTAGGACCTGCCTTGTTTATAGTGTTGTTAAGAAGGCAGAGCAGCACTTAATTATGGATATACTTCTCCCCATCTTAGCTACTGTTGTATCAATATGCTTTGACCATGACAGTCTATGATCCAGGGTTACTCCAAGCAGTTTAGTCACCTCAACTTGCTCAATTTTCACATTATTCATTACGAGATGTAGTTGAGGTTTAGGGTTTAGTGACTGATTTGACCTAAATGCAATGCTTAAAGTTTTGGTAATATTCAGGACTAACTTATTCCTTGCCACCCATTCCGAAACTAACTGCAACTCTTTGTTAAGTGTTGCAGTTATTTCAGTTGCTGTAGTAGCTGACGTGTATAGTGTTGAGACATCCGCGTACATAAACACAATGGCTTTACTCAAAGCCAGTGGCATGTCGTTAGTAAAGATGGATGGAAAAAAGCAAGAGGCCTAGACAGCTGCCATGGGGAATTCCTGATTCTACCTGGATTATGTTTGAGAGGCTTCCATTCAAATCAAATTAAATTGTATTTGTCAAATACACGTGTATAGCAGATGTTATTGCGGGTGTAGCGAAATGCTTGTGCTTCTAGCTCCGACAGCGCAGTAATATCTAACAAGTAATATCTAACAATTTCAAAACATATACCCAATACACACAAATCTAGTAAGGAATGGAATTTAAGAATATATACATATATGGACAAGCAATGACAGAGCGGCATGGACTAAGATACAGTAGAATATTATAGAATAGAATACAGTATATACACATATGACATGAGTAGTTTTCCATTTCTTAAAGTGCCCAGTGATTTCAATAGGCAGCAGCAGCCTCTAATGTGCTAGTGATGGCTATTTAACAGTCTGATGGCCTTGAGATAGAAGCGGTTTTTCATTCTCTCGGTCCCAGCTTTGATGCACCTGTACTGACCTCACCTTCTGGATGATAGCGGGGTGAACAGGCAGTGGCTCGGGTGGTTGCTGTCCTTGATGATCTTTTTGGCCTTCCTGTGACATGGGGTGCTGTAGGTGTCTTGGAGGACGGGTAGTTTGCCCCCGGTAATGTGTTCGGCAGACCGCACCACCCTCTGGAGAGCCCTGCGGTTGCGGGCGGTGCAGTTGCCGTACCAGGCGGTGATACAGCCCGACAGGATGCTCTCAATTGTGCATCTGTAAAAGTTTGTGAGGGTTTTAGGTGCCAAGCCACATTTCTTCAGCCTCCTGAGGTTGAAGAGGCTCTGTTGCACCTTCTTCACCACACTGTCTGCGTGGGTGGACCATTTCAGTTTGTCAGTGATGTGTACGTCAAGGAACTTGAAGCTGTTGTGTCATCTGCAAACTTGATGATTGAGTTGGAGGCGTGCATGGCCACGCAGTCATGGGTGAACAGGGAGTACAGGAGTGGGCTGAGCACGCACCCTTGTGGGGCCCCAGTGTTGAGGATCAGCGAAGTGGAGATGTTGTTTCCTACCTTCACCACCTGGGGGCGGTCCGTCAGGAAGTCCAAGACCCAGTTGCACAGGGCGGGGTTCAGACCCAGGGCCTTGAGCTTAATGAGCTTGGAGGGTACAATGGTGTTGAATGTCCTTCTCTATAAGCAAGCTGAAAGTTTGTTGTCAATTTGTTTACAGTAAAATAGCATTGTATCTGGTCAAACACCATTTTTTCCAATAGTTTACTAAGGGTTGGTGGTAACAGGCTAATTGGTCAGCTGTTTGAGCCAGTAAAAGTGGCTTTACTATTCTTAGGTAGCGGAATGACTTTTGCTTCCCTCCAAGCCTGGGGGCACACACATTCTTGTAGGCTGAAATTGAAAATATGGCAAGTAGGAGTGGCAATCTCGTCCGCTATTATCCTCAGCAATTTTCCATCCAAGTTGTCAGATCCCGGTGGCTTGTCATTGTTAAATCGACAACAATAATTTGTTCACCACTTCCACACTCACTTTACGGAATTCAAAATTACAATGCTTGTCTTTCATAATTTGGGTCAGATATATTTGGATGTGTAGTGTCAGCAATTGTTGCTGGTATGTCATACCTAAGTTTGTAAATCTTGCCAATGAAAAAATTTAAGTAGTTGGCAATATCAGTTGGTTTTGTGATGAATGAGCCATCTGATTCAATGAATGATGGAGCTGAGTTTGCCTTTTTTCCAAAAATGTCATTTAAGGAGCTCCAAAGCTTTTTACTATAATTCTTTGTCATTTATCCTTGTTTCATAGTGTTGTTTCTTCTTCTTTTTATTCAGTTTAGTCACATGATTTTTCAATTTGCAATACATTTGCCAATCGGTTGTGCAGCCAGACTTATTTGCCATTCCTTTTGCCTCATCCCTCTCAACCATACCATTTTTAAATTCCTTATTAATCCACGGGAATTTAACAGCTTTTACAGTCATTTTCTTAAATGGGTGCATGCTTATTAGTAACTGGAATAAGCAATTTCATAAATGTGTCAAGTGCAGTGTCTGTTTGCTCCTCATTACACACCATGGACCAACATATTCTTTACATCAAAAACATAGGAATCGCTACAAAACTTATTGTATGACCTCTTATACACTATATTAGGCCCAGCCTTTGGCAATTTGGTTTTCCTAGATATGGCTACTGCTTTCAAACAAATCTTAGAGTATTTTGTGTATATTGTTGACAAAAAAAGGACAAATCCATTGTAATCCCACTTTGTAACACAATAAAATGTGAAGAAATCCAAGGGGCCTGAATACTATGCTAAATGGCATATTATATTATACTTCTGCAAGGCACTGCATATTGTACCAGTGTAGGGATACAGTGCCTTGCAAAAGTATTCATCCCACTTGGCGTTCTTCCCATTTTGTTGCATTACAACCTGTAATTTAAATTGATTTTCATTTGGATTTAATGTAATGGACATTCACAAATAGTCCAAATTGGTCTAGTGAAATTAAAAAAATTACTTGTTTCAAAGATACAGGTGCAGCTCAATAAATTTGAATATTGTGGAAAAGTTCAATATTGTAGACTCAAGGTGTCACACTCATCAGCTAACTAACTCAAAACACCTGCAAAGGTTTCCTTAGCCTTTAAATGGTCTCTCAGTCCAGTTCAGTAGGCTTCACAATCATGGAGAAGACTGCTGACTTGACAGTTGTGCAGAAGACAGTCATCAACACCCTCCACAAGGAGGGAATGCCTCAAAAGATAATTGCTAAAGAAGCTGGCTGTTCACAGAGTGCTGTATCCAAGCATATTCATGGAAAGTCGAGTGGAAGGAAGAAGTGTGGTAGGAAAAGGTGCACAAGCAACAGGGATAACAGGAGCCTTGAGAGGATTGTCAAGCAAAGGCCATTCAAAAATGTGGGGGAGCTTCACAAGGAGTGGACTGAGGCAGGAGTCAGTGCATCAAGAGCCACCACGCACAGACGTATCCAGGAAATGGGCTACAACTGTCGCATTCCTCGTGTCAAGCCACTCCTGAACCAGAGGCAACGTCAGAAGCGTCTTACCTGGGCTAAGGAGAAAAGTAACTGGTCTGTCGCTCAGTGGTCCAAAGTCCTCTTTTCAGATGAAAGTACATTTTGCATTTCATTTGGCAATCAAGGTCCCAGAGTCTGGAGGAAGAGTGGAGAGGCACATAATCCAAGTTGCTTGAAGTCCAGTGTGAAGTTTCCACAGTCAGTGATGATTTGGGGAGCCATGTCATCTTCTGGTGTTGGTCCACTGTGTTTCATCAAGTCCAAAGTCAACTCAGCCGTCTACCAGGAAATGTTAGAGCACTTCATGCTTCCTTCTGCTGACAAGCTTTATGGAGATGCTGATTTCATTTTCCAGCAGGACTTGGCACCTGCCCACACTGCCAAAGGTACCAATACCTGGTTCAATGACCATGGGACTACTGTGCTTGATTGGCCAGCAAACGCGCCTGATCTGAACCCCATAGAGAATTTATGGGGTATTGTCAAGAGGAAGATGAGACACGAGACCCAACAATGCAGACGAGCTGAAGGCCGTATTTTGAAGCAACCTGGGCTTCCATAACACCTCAGCAGTGCCACAGGCTGATCGACTCCATGCCACGCCGCATAGATGCAGTGATTCATGCAAAAGGAGCCCCAACCAAGTACTGACTGCATGTACAAGAACATACTTTTCAGAAGGCCAAGGCCATGTCTGTATTACATTTCCTTTTTTCACTGGTCTTATGTCATAATCTAATTTTCTGAGATACTGCATTTGGGGTTTTCATGAGCTGTAAGCCATAATCATCAAGATTCCACCTGTGTGCAATCTAAGTGTCACATGATCTGTCACATGATCTCAGTATATATACACACACACACACCTGTTCTGAAAGGCCCCAGAGTCTGCAACACCACTAAGCAAGGGGCACCACCAAGCAAGCGGCACCATGTACAGATCAGTGTTGGGTTATAAAAAAATCTGAAACTTTGAACATTCCACAGAGCACCATTAAATCCATTATTAAAAAATGGAAAGAATATGGCACCACAACAAACCTGCCAAGAGAGGGCCGCCCACCAAAACTCACAGACCAGGCAAGGAGGGTATTAATCTGAGAGGCAACAAAGAGACCAAAGATAACCCTGAAGGAGATGCAAAGCTCCACAGCGGAGACTGGAGTATCTGTCCATAGGACCACTTTAAGCCGTACAATCCACAGAGCTGGGCTTTACGGAAGAGTGGCCAGAAAAAAGCCATCGCTTAAAGACAAAAATAAGCAAACATGTTTGGTGTTCGCCAAAAGGCATGTGGGAGACTCCCCAAACATATGGAAGAAGGTACTCTAGTCAGATTAGACTAAAATTGAGCGTTTTGGCCATCAAGTAAAATGTCTGGCGCAAACCCAACACCTCTCATCACCCCGAGAACACCATCCAAGCATGGTGGTGGCAGCATCATGCTGTGGGGATGTTTTTCCATCGGCAGGGACTGGGAAACTGGTCAGAATTGAAGGAATGATGGATGTCGCTAAATACAGGGAAATTCTTGAGGGAAACCTGTTTCAGTCTTCAAGAGATTTGAGACTGGAGTGCATTCGGAAAGTATTCAGACCCCTTGACTTATTCCACATTTTACATTACAGCCTTACTCTAAAATGTATTAAATACAAAATTTTCCCGTCAATCTACACACAATGCCCCATAATGACGAAGCGAAAACAGGTTTTTAGATTGTTTTTTTAAATGTATAATTTTTAAAAAACAGAAATACCTTATTTACGTAAGTATTCAGACCCTTTGCTATGAGACTCGAAATTGAGCTCAGGTGCATCATTTTTCCATTGATCATCCTTGAGATGTTTCTACAACTTGATTGGAGTCCACCAGTGGTAAATTCAACTGATTGGACATGATTTGGAAAGGCACACACCTGTCTATATAAAGGTCCCACAGTTGACAGTGCATGTCAGAGCAAAAACCAAGCCATAAGGTCGAAGGAATTGTCCATAGAGCGCAGAGACAGGATTGTGTCGAGGCACAGATCTGGGGAAGGGTACCAAAACATTTATGCAGCATTGAAGGTCCCCAAGAACACAGAGGCATCCATCATTCTTAAATGGAATAAGTTTGGAACCACCACGACTCTTACTACAGCAGGCCGCCCGGCCAAACTGAGCAATCAGGGGAGAAGGGCCTTGGTCAGGGAAGTGACCAAGAACCCGATGGTCACTCTGAAAAAGCTCCAGAGTTCCTCTGTGGAGATGGGAGAACCTTCCAGAAGGACAGCAATCTCTGCAGCACTCAGGCCTTTATGTGGCCATACGGAAGCCACTCCTCAGTAAAAGGCACATGACAGCCCGCTTGGAGTTTGCCAAAAGGCACCTAAAGGACTCAGACCATGAGAAACAACATTCTCATTATGGGGTATTGTGTGTAGATTGATGAGATTATATACAGTGAGGGAAAAAAGTATGATTTTGTACGTTTGCCCACTGACAAAGACATGATCAGTCTATACTTTCAATGGTAGGTTTATTTGAACAGCAAGAGACAGAATAACAACAACAAAAATCCAGAAAAAAGCATGTCAAAAATGTTATAAATTGATTTGCATTTTAATGAGGGAAATAAGTATTTGACACCTCTGCAAAACATGACTTAGTACTTGGTGGCAAAACCCTTGTTGGCAATCACAGAGGTCAGACGTTTCTTGTAGTTGGCCACCAGGTTTGCACACATCTCAGGAGGGATTTTGTTCCACTCCTCTTTGCAGATCTTCTCCAAGTCATTAGGGTTTCGAGGCTGACGTTTGGCAACTCAAATCTTTAGCTCCCTCCACAGATTTTCTACGGGATTAAGGTCTGGAGACTGGCTAGGCCACTCCAGGACCTTGATGTGCTTCTTCTTGAGCCACTTTGTTGCCTTGGCCGTGTGTTTTGGGTCATTGTCATGCTGGAATACCAATCCACGACCCATTTTCAATGCCCTGGCTGAGGGAAAGAGGTTCTCACCCAATATTTGACGGTACATGGCCCCGTCCATCGTCCATTTGATGCGGTGAAGTTGTCCTGTCCCCTTAGTAGAAAAACACCCCCAAAGCATAATGTTTCCACCTTCATTTTTGACGGTGGGGATGGTGTTCTTGGGGTCATAGGCAGCATTCCTCCTCCTCCAAACACGGCGAGTTGAGTTGATGCCAAAGAGCTCGATTTTGGTCTCATCTGACCACAACACTTTCACCCAGTTCTCCTCTGAATCATTCAGATTTTCACTGGCAATCTTCAGATGGCACTGTATATGTGCTTTCTTGAGCAGGGGGACCTTGCGGGCGCTGCAAGATTTCAGTCCTGCACGGCGTAGAGTGTTACCAATTGTTTTCTTGGTGACTATGGTCCCAGCTGCCTTGAGATCATTGACAAGATCCTCCCGTGTAGTTCTGGGCTGATTCCTCACCGTTCTCATGATCATTGCAACTCCACGAGGTGAGATCTTGCATGGAGCCCCAGGCCGAGGGAGAATGACAGTTCTTTTGTGTTTCTTCCATTTGCGAATAATCGCACCAACTGTCACCAAATGTCACCAAATGTCACCTTCTCACCAAGCTGCTTGGCTCTTGTCCCTGACATCCTTGGAGAGCTCTTTGGTCTTGGCCATGGTGGAGAGTTTGGAATCTGATTGATTGATTGCTTCTGTGGACAGGTGTCTTTTATACAGGTAACAAGATGAGATTAGGAGTGCTCCTAATCTCAGCTCGTTACCTGTATAAAAGACACCTGGGAGCCAGAAATCTTTCTGATTGAGAGGGGGTCAAATACTTATTTCCCTCATTAAAATGCAAATCAATCTATAACATTTTTGACATGCTTTTTTCTGGATTGTTTTGTTGTTATTCCATCTCTTACTGTTCAAATAAACCTACCATTAAGATTATAGACTGATAATTTCTTTGTCAGTGGGCAAACGTACAAAATCAGCAGGGGATCAAATACTTTTTTCCCCCTCACTGTATATTTTTTAAATCCATTTTAGAATAAGGCTCTAATGTAATAACATTTGGAAAAAGTCAAGGGGTCTGAATACTTTCCAAATGCACTATACTTATTTTTTGGAAAACTGGACATTTGACCTTATATGAGGTATGTTTTACATTGCTTCAAAGTAACCTAATCTAGGGGGGGGGGGGGGTCACACTATGGATCATTTTGCTACATGATTTTGAATTTTAGGACCCCTTTAGGTCTTAAAAAAATATATACAACAATTATTTCATAAAATACTAACGGCCATAGAAACGCATTGAATAACACATTCATAAATAGCAAACACGACAGTCAAAAAATGTATCATGGAAACAAGATTGTCTGTCCTAAATCTAGGAGATATTTTTTAAAGACTCAGGAAATACATATACAGTGGGGAGAACAAGTATTTGATACACTGCCGATTTTGCAGGTTTTCCTACTTACAAAGCATGTAGAGGTCTGTAATTTTTATCATAGGTACACTTCCAACTGTGAGAGACGGAATCTAAAACAAAAATCCAGAAAATCACATTGTATGATTTTTAAGTAATTAATTTGCATTTTATTGCATGACATAAGTATTTCATCCATCAGAAAAGCAGAATGTAATATTTGGTACAGAAACCTGTGTTTGCAATTATAGAGATCATACGTTTCCTGTAGGTCTTGACCAGGTTTGCACACACTGCAGCAGGGATTTTGGCCCACTCCTCCATACAGACCTTCTCCAGATCCTTCAGGTTTCGGGGCTGTTGCTGGGCAATTCGGACTTTCAGCTCCCTCCAAAGATTTTCTATTGGGTTCAGGTCTGGAGACTGGCTAGGCCACTCCAGGACCTTGAGATGCTTCTTACGGAGCCACTCCTTAGTTACCCTGGCTGTGTGTTTCGGGTCGTTGTCATGCTGGAAGACCCAGCCACGACCCATCTTCAATTCTCTTACTGAGGGAAGGAGGTTGTTGGCCAAGATCTCGCGATACATGGCCCCATCCCCATGGGTCTCCCGGTCGCGGCCCGCTACGAAAGAGTCTGGATTCGAACCAGGATCTCTAGTGGCCTTAGACCACTACGCCACTCGGGAGACCATGGGGTTGTACTCATGGTTCTTGGGGTTGTACTCATCCTTCTTCCTCCAAACACGGCGAGTGGAGTTTAGACCAAAAAGCTATATTTTTGTCTCATCAGACCACATGACCTTCTCCCATTCCTCCTCTGGATCATCCAGATGGTCATTGGCAAACTTCAGACGGGCCTGGACATGCGCTGGCTTGAGCAGGGGGACCTTGCGTGCGCTGCAGGATTTTAATCCATGACGGCGTAGTGTGTTACTAATGGTTTTCTTTGAGACTGTGGTCCCAGCTCTCTTCAGGTCATTGACCAGGTCCTGCCGTGTAGTTCTGGGCTGATCCCTCACCTTCCTCATGATCATTGATGCCCCACGAGGTGAGATCTTGCATGGAGCCCCAGACCGAGGGTGATTGACCGTCATCTTGAACTTCTTCCATTTTCTAATAATTGCGCCAACAGTTGTTGCCTTCTCACCAAGCTGCTTGCCTATTGTCCTGTAGCCCATCCCAGCCTTGTGCAGGTCTACAATTTTATCCCTGATGTCCTTACACAGCTCTCTGGTCTTGGCCATTGTGGAGAGGTTGGAGTCTGTTTGATTGAGTGTGTGGACAGGTGTCTTGTGGACAGGTGTCTTTTATACAGGTAACGAGTTCAAACAGGTGCAGTTAATACAGGTAATGAGTGGAGAACAGGAGGGCTTCTTAAAGAAAAACTAACAGGTCTGTGAGAGCCGGAATTCTTACTGGTTGGTAGGTGATCAAATACTTATGTCATGCAATAAAATGCAAATTAATTACTTAAAAATCATACAATGTGATTTTCTGGATTTTTGTTTTAGATTCCGTCTCTCACAGTTGAAGTGTACCTATGATAAAAATTACAGACCTCTACATGCTTTGTAAGTAGGAAAACCTGCAAAATCGGCAGTGTATCAAATACTTGTTCTCCCCACTGTATATTTTTTACACATTTAACCCCTTTTTTTGGGTAGGCACAAAACTACCTTCATACGCCATTTGTTTTTTAAACCGGTACCGGTTACTTTCAGATGAGTCCCGTGACACTTGTGGTGGTCGAAGAGCAAAACGGAGAACACTGACGTGCTCGTGAGAGGCTCCCCTTTCTTTGAATGGTTTGTAGGACGCTACAAACGTTTTCGTAAGAAGGCCGATTTTCAGATGTCTCATGGTCTGACAAACACCGCTCTAGCTCTGCCACCTTTCACCGCAGATGCGGAAGTGCGACACTCGCGGATTGAGATGCACCCAACGCAAAAAAAAACAACTTAAACTAACTGATTTAAATGGGGATTTTTTGGTTATGTAACTTAGATTGACGCACCGGTCTTGGGGGTTAATAATAGTGTTTAACATGACTGCATCGTCTCTGTACCCCACACACACACATTTATCTGTAAAGGTCCCTCAGTCGAGCAGTGAATTTCAAACCACAAAGACCAGGGAGGTTTTCCAATGCCTCGAAGGGCACCTATTGGTAGATTTAAAAAAAAATATATATATATATTTTAAAAGCAGACATTGAATATTCCTTTGAGCATGGTGAAGTTATTAATTACACTTTGGATGGTGTATCAATACACCCAGTCACTACAAAGATACAGGTGTCCTTCCTAACTCAGTTGTCGGATAGGAAGGAAACTGCTCAGGGATTTGGTGACTTTAAAATAGTTTGAGTTTAATGGCTGTGATAGGAGAAGACTGAGGATGGACCAACAACATTGTAGTTACTCCACAATATTAACCTAATTGACAGAGTGAAAAGAAGGAAGCCTGTACAGAATAAAAATATGCCAAACATCCATCCTGTTTGCAACAAGGCACTAAAGTATTACTGCAAAAAGTGTGGCAAAGCAATTACATTTTTGTAAAGAACACAAATCCAATACAACACATTACTGAGTATAACTCCCCATATTTTCAAGCATAGTGGTGGCTGCATCATGTTTTGGGTATGCTTGTAATTTTTAAGGACTGGGCAGTTTTTCTGGATAAAAAAGAAACGGAATGGAGCTAAGCACTGGCAAAATCCTAGAGGAAAACCTGGTTCAGTCTGCTTTCCACTGGACACTGGGAGATTAATTCACCTTTCTGCACGATAATAACCTAAAACACAAGACCAAATCTACACTGGAGTTGTTTACCAAGAACACAGTGAATGTTCCTGAGTGGCCGAGTTACAGTTGACTTAAATCTGCTTGTAAATCTATTGCAAGAAATGAAAATGGTCTAGCAATGATCAACAACCAATTTGACAGAGCTTCAAGAAATGTTTAAATAATAAAAAAAGGTCCAATGCAGCCGTTTTAACCTCATATTCAAAATCATTTCTGGATAATAATGAGAGTTTGGGACCATAAGGTTCTATCTACAAAAAGATTATCCTGAGATAACTGGCTTTACAGTTTAGAACCCCCATTTGTTCGAATGAAGTCAGCAATTTGTATCTTGTATTCTTTAGAATTTAACATGAATTGGGATATTTAGAGTACTATATAGGTTGTTTATACAACAGGTGGGTCTAATCCTGAATGCTGATTAAAACTGCATTCCAGCTGGTGACTACTTCACAAGTTACCACCGGCTAAATCTATGACGTTAAAATTCCTATTTACTCTGTTCCATCTGACTGCGCATCAACCCTTCCAGGAAATGTATAAACTTGATCCACTATAAAAAGCATCTAGACATTATCTCCATTTCTTTTAGACTAGCATTTGGTTTTCAACAGCAGAGATTTGTATAAACCTTGCTGTCGGTCTCTCTGACCTTTTCAATATTGAATTGCGATCTCCACCGTCCCATAATGAGTAGGTGTCCAAACTTTTGACTGGGAGTGTATATATATTATGACTGTAAGTCGCTTTGGATAAAAGCGTCTGCTAAATGGCATATTATTATTATTATTATTATATAAAGTGAATGTGTCCGAACGAGACAGACAGCAAATTGAGCTGGTTGTCTTAGCAACATAATAGTTGTTTTCAGTTGACTGGCTAAATCGATACTTTGTTGCGAGGATGAGTGGAACATTTATTTTGATCTTTTCGGCGGCATGACTACAGATGAATGGGAAAAAGAGATGGCAATAATACCCAGGCATGCAGATTTGGGGGATACTGCATTGAATGACCTAGAGAAAAGCCTCAACGAAAAAAACACAGTTAAGAATACAAACTGGGCTGTGCGGTGCTGAGGGCTGGCTAGCAGAGAAGAAAAAAGTTGTTGACTTCAAAACTGTCACTAAGGAAGTGTTTAACATCCTTCTCCGACAGTTTTATGGAAATGTACGAAATGGGGGGGAGCAGTACAGCATAAGTAGCTACCTGGCACTCCGGAGTGGGCTCAACCGGTTTCTAAATGACCCACCCATCGGTCGCAGCTGGTGCCTTATGAAGGACACTGCATTTATCACCTCGAATCATGTATTTCTGTGGAACATCAAACAGCTAAGAAGGCAAGGAAAATATATCACAAACAGCCACCCTCCCATCACCAATAAGGACATGGCCCAGCTCCAAAACTCCCAGGCTCTGAATCCCGGTACACCAAGGGGTCCAGAAAGTGTGGTTCGACCTCCAGTTACATCTGGGTCAAAGAAGAAAAGAGGGGAACAGACAACTAAAGCGCAACTCATTTCTCGTAAAAACAGACAAGAACGGTCTAAGGTATGTTGTTCATAGCCTGTTTGTGTTATTTCTAAGTTGCTCTCGTAATTAGGCTACTGGAAAACAATATTATTACAACGCATTCTCCCTCTCAGATACGGCACTCTCGCATATAACAAGGCCACAAAGAATCATCTGGACCCAAGGGAGAGGGGCAGGGAGTCCAAGAGGGGATTCATGTTTGAGCAGCCAGGAAACCGACTATGCCCGGTGGCATCACTGGAGAAATCACACAAATCATCAGAACCACGACAGTCCAGAAACTGGTCAATGCTGGTTTAGAAGTGAGGGAGATGATGTCAGTGAGTGGGCATCGGTGCGAAGGTTCGCTCCATAGCTACCGGCGTCCCTCACTGACAGACAGAAAACGCTAGAGCAACATCCTGGCCGAAAACAAATAGAACACTGCATCACCAACACCCAAAAGGCTGAAGCAAGGCAGCAGAAGTTGTAGCACAGACTCTGACAGAAATTTCAACCAATGCACCATCCAGGGGAATGTACAGATTAATGTGACATACAATAAGTAGCTATAGCGATGTCAGCTGTGGTGGATAACAAAAGAGAATGTATGGTTTCATTTATTAAAATCAGCTCAAATGAATGTCATGGATTGCCTTTCTTTTGTCTGAACAGCGTCCTGACAACAGAGCACATTTTCTCTGCTAGGCAAAGTCGTGCATCATAAGCTGATTGTTATGGATGTATCCAAATAAATGTCACTAGAAAACAGCTTAAACAAATGCAAAACTTTGCTGGCTGTTATTCTGGCTGAACTTTTTGACGTAACTGTAAATTAGCCGTAGTTGGCTAGCTAGCAAGCAAGGCATAAGAACGTTGCCAGCCAGTATGGCAATGGAACATTTAGAACGAACGACTGGGTCGTGTCCATAGCAACCCTAGATTTGTGTCTGGACTATATCTTGTGGAAGGATGAAATAGTACGAATAAATTACTCAAAACAACATTTTTAATGAAAATATGTCAATCATTATTTGAATATGTTGGTAACCCGTTGTATAAAAGCGATAATGCCCTCGAAACCGGTGTTTGTTGGATATATTGGCACAGTTTGTCGGCCCTCGACTTTGTCTCAGGCCTAACAACACCCGTGCCAATATATCCAACAAACACAAGCTTCTCGGGCATTATCACTTAATTAACACCCGCCACATGCATTGGCAGGTAAGATGTCTATTTCACCAGCCACGTTGGCGGGTGGTCAGGGCTCCACAGTGCGAGCATTTCACTCACATTTCTGAATAAAAGTAGTCAAGTATGATCACATTTATAGTAAAATAAATGTTGCATTAGCTTTTTCAAATTATTTCTGCCGTTTAGTTTCATAGCCGGTAAATTAAATCGCACAAAGTCAAAGAACTCCGAATCCTATATAGCCTATTCCACCTCTCGCTGCAACACTGCCTGGCTGGGGGCTGTGTGCATGTCAAGAGCTGGGTGAAATATTCATTTTTAAAAGTGCTGTGCACAGGCATACAAGTTGGTTTAATTTACTTGAAACTAAAAAGTCTACTGAAGTGAGGCTTTTTTCTTGTGTTTCTTGGCTATACATTTTTTTGCTTCACACGCTGGGTTGTCTTTCTATGTTTGCGTTTCAATTGCTAGGGAAGAGAAGCAACACCGATACTAGTCAGTTTCTCAATCCCACAGGCACAAACATGACAAGTTGCGCTACCACGGTAACCTCCTACACTTAAAGGGGCAGGTAAAAATGTTTGTCTCATCTGTGATATTTTGGTTAAAAGACTCAGGTCACAAAAAATTTAATTAAACAATATACCACATTACTTTTTACTAGTAATACATTTATTGTTTTAGAGACATTACAATGCATGCTCATCAGTTTTTTTTTGTGTTTTGGTGTAATTGTAGTGGGAAAAATACTATTTTGGCTGGTAAAAAATCTCAGTGGCTGGTAGATTTTTTTTATCTGCCTGCCACAGTGGCTGGTGGACCAAAAAGTTAGTGGTATGCCCTGATTGAACAGAACAAGGTTTTGTCATTGTCAATAACTATATTTTGACAAAAATACAAATAGAACCTTATAGTCCCAAGCTCCCGAATTAAGTACCGTACTGTGATTGTTTTCAATTAAAATTGACAACAACTAAAAAATAATCTTATTAGCCATGAGCAATTTCTCAAGCAAAAATTTAGCTAGGACTGTGTGGGAGTGGTCTGAGTGGGGAGGGGAAAACTGAAAATGAGCTGTTATTGGCAAAGAGGTCTGGAACTCTTATCGGTCTATTAACTAATTTACTGGCTGGTGATGTCACCAGGCAGGCCAAAACTCCATCCCATCAAAACAGTATGAAATTTCAGGCGGTCTTTTAAAACTGCTCTTACACTCAAAAGGCATTATCATCATTTTTTTTTTTTTTTTTTTTTTTTTCATTTTCATTTTAACAATTTCACAGTATTATTCCAACCTCAGTGTGGAAATATACAGTTGAAGTCGGAAGTGTACATAAACCTTAGCCAAATACATTTAAACTCAGTTTTTCACAATTCCCGACATTTAATCCTAGTAAAAATTCCCTGTCTTAGGTCATTTAGGATCACCACTTTATTTTAAGAATGTGAAATGTCAGAATCATAGTAGATAGAATGATTTATTTCAGCTTTTATTTCTTTCATCACATTCCCAGTGGGTCAGAAGTTTACATACACTCAATTAGTATTTGGTAGCATTGCCTTTAAATTGTTGAACTTGGGTCAAACGTTTCGGGTAGCCTTCCAAAAGCTTCCCACAATAAGTTGGGTGAATTTTGGCCCATTCCTCCTGACAGTGCTCGTGTAACTGAGTCAGGTTGGTAGGCCTCCTTGCTCGCACAAGCCATTTTGCCACAACTTTGGTAGTATGCTTGAGGTCATTGTCCATTTGGAAGACCCATTTGCGACCAAGCTTTAACATCCTGACTGATGTCTTGAGATGTTGCTTCAATATATCCACCTAATTTTCCTTCCTCATGATGCCATCTATTTTGTGAAGTGCACCAGGCCCTGCTGCAGCAAAGCACCCCCACAGCATGATGCTGCCACCCTTGGTTGGGATGGTGTTCTTCGGCTTGCAAGCCCCCCCCCCCCCCTTTTCCTAGTTCCTGAGTTTGAAGGTAGGCCTGGAAATACATCCACAGGTACACCTCCAATTGACTCAAATTATGTCAATTAGCCTATCAGAAGCTTCTAAAGCCATGACATCATTTTCTGGAATTTTCCAAGCTGTTTAAAGGCACAGTCAACTTAGTTTATGTAAACTTCTGACCCATTGGAATTGTGCATGGGTCACAGCATTATACAGTGAATTATAAGTGAAATAATCTGTCTGTAAACAATTGTTGGAAAAATGACTTGTGTCATGCACAAAGTAGATGTCCTAACCGACTTGCCAAAACTAGAAATGTATGGAGTGGTTGAAAAACGAGTTTTAATGACTCCAACCTAAGTGTATGTAAACTTCTGACTTCAACTGTATACACCGAGTGTACAATACATTAGGAACACCTTCCTAATATTGAGTTGTATACCCTTTGGCCCTCAGAACAGCCTCAATTCGTTGGGGCATGGACTATAAAAGATGTCGAAAGCGTTCCACAGGGATGCTGGCCCATGTTGACTCCAATGCTTCCCACAGTTGTGTCAAGTTGGCTGGATGTCCTTTGGGTGGTGGACCATTCTTGATACACACGGGAAACTGTTAAGCATGAAAAACCCAGCAGCGGTGCAGTTCTTGACACACTCAACCCGGTGCGCCTGGCACATACTACCATACCCTGCTCAAAGGCACTTAAATATTTTGATTTAAGTCGATTTAACAGGGGATCATAGCTTTCAACTGGATTCACCTGGTCAGTCTATGTAATGGAAAGAACGGGTATTCCTAATGTTTTGTACACCGTGTATAAAACACGTTTTTGACGGCACTGGGCCTTTAATGAAAGATGTTCGTTCCTTGTACGCATGCATAGCCTTTCCTGTTGGTCACGTCATTTTACTGTTTGGAACAAATGTAACCGATTTTTAACTGGTTAATGGGGGTCGTTTAGTCGGCAGCAAAATGGACCGAAATTTGCATCCCTAATCTAGTGTATTATATTGTACCTGTGTAGAGAATCCCACTCGTCCATCTCGGCTCAGCACAGCCCGGGAGTCGCCACAGTTTATGAAGTAGAGGTGGGAGGGGCTTAGCAGCACGCCCACCGCCGTGGAGCCGCTGCGGTCCAGCCCCTGCCGCAGGTCCGAGAAGCTGCGCATGTATTCGTCGATCTTCAGGAAGCCCGCGCGGATCCCATCCTTAACGCCCTCCACTGAGCCCGTCCCCGGGGTGAATTCCGCCCCCCCTGATAGGATGTGCTCCAGTAGGTGGCCGGAGCAGTAGTTGGCGACGCGGGAGCCGGCATGCCCGTCGTAGACGGCGAAGAAGGACCAGTCGGTGAGGCCGTGGGGCAGGCCCACCATGGCGGTGTGGGCATCCTCCATCTCCACACGCCAGCCCTGCATGGAGCTCAGGCCGTAGTGCAGCCCATTGCCCTCACCATGGGCCGTGTGCTTCTCTGTCTTAGGCTTGTCCAGGAACGCCCCCATACCTACACACAGCTGACAGAGAGAGGGGGAGGACAGATATGAGGGGGGGAGAGTTAGAGGGATACAGGAGAGAAAACATACATTAAGCTACATTATCAACGCAGTCATACTTCAATATGCCAATGTTACCTTTAGGAGGTCCTGACACCTCTCTTTTAACCACCAGTAGGCAATGCAATGCAATGCAATTCACAAGCTGCAGTATTACAGGCTCAAAACTGCGATCAAACACTCACATTTGCAACCCTTTGACTTGGCAGTGCGAACCCAAATGTTTTAGTGGTCGCTAGGGTGCCAGTGAAATTGTTTTAGCTGGTCATGTTCGTTTTTTGTTCACATTTTGATTATTATTATCACTATTTATTCAAACAGCAAGACAAGTTATTCAAAAAGTTTAGTTTGAAGTCTTGGTTGAATCTCTGCGATGCGCAATTCAGTCATCATGCGCTATTTGAATAACAATTTCGAATGGCTTTCCCAAAAACCTTCCCAATTAAAATGTCGACTGCAAAGTAGGCCTACCTGGCAAAATGATATCCTGATAATTTGTATAAAATTGCAGGGCATTCTGCCATTACATGTAGCCTACATTGTACAGTACAAAATTACCTCTAGCCAAACAACATTCTCCTGCAAGGTGCACAATTGAATTAAAGGGCAACTACACACTCCCCCAAAAATGTGTTTGATTGTTCCCAGACCTCAAGAGTAGTCTTCTGATATGTTTTACGCATTGTTGTGGACTTAAAACATCACATTTCTGTAGTTTTTCTATTTTAAAAAAACTGAGTGAAAACCTGTACTCAGAAAACTGGAAACATAAAACAGGCAAAATTGAATTTACCAAAAGACAAAACTGATTTTATAGGGCCCTACAACTGTTCAAACTCGCTAACAATAACAGTATTTACGGTATTACTTCTTAGTAGACAATGCGCTAAAAACACAGAAAAAGTCCATTGGGCGTCTATTAACAGAATGCTAACAAAATGAGCAAAATTTCTACAGAGGCTGCTAGAAATATACGCTAACTAACGCAAACAAAATTAAACTAATTGCAAAGACAGGCAAACCAGCTCAAAGTTATACAAGTATAGGTAGTAGCTACCGAATGTAATTTTTGGTGAGTTTGGACAATTACAAGCGAATGTGAACAAGGGACGTGGAAATTAACAAAGTTTTGACACATGATTGTCTGAAGGAAGAAGAGCACTGTCTCTGGAGCAGCATGTGTACACGCTGTGCTAGGACTCCGGCGGTACACAGCAGGCGGGAGGCAAGATAGCTAGCTACCTAGCACACCTGTAGACAGTGTACTTTGCCCCCACCCGCCGTGCACTGTTTTCCCGCAGTTCTATTAACGAAGGCCAGGGCAGGTGTTCGGCAGGCATTAGCGAACACTGGGTGCTAGCAGGAATACCCACACGCAGGAACTACCCGAATTGCGGGCCGAAATCACACACTATTGGTCCTGCATGCTCTGCTTGAGAAGGGTGCAATTGTGGCCTGCAATTCGGAGCATTCCTGCATGTGGACATTCCTGCACCTGCAGGAACCCCTCTTTATACTTCTATTGGTCCATTATTAAGCTAGGACTGCTGTACACAGGTGGGAGGCGGGGCCACTCCAGTACAGTAGGTGGCGGTAATGCACCATAACATTGGATGCCAACTGCCAATAAACCTGACAGAAAAAGAGGTGGAGACGACAAAAGGTAGCTAGCTAGCTAGGACGACCCCGCCTTTCGGGCACTGTTTTTCCGCAGTTCTGTTAACAACGCCGAAGGCAGGTGTTCGGCAGCAGGAGAAAAGGACACTGTGCTCGCTAGCTAGGACTCTGGTACACAGCAGGAGGGAGGCGGGATAGGTACAGTGCCTTCATCTGTAGCGCCATACACTCCACTGATCAGCCAAAACAAGCTCAATAACTCAATGCATGCACACACTCCTATTGAATACGCCTTCACCTGTATTGTGAGTAGGCCTATGCCATTTTAATTTACCCAGTTTATCAAGAGATTAACCATTCAAACACAATTATTACCGTTATGTAGTTATGTTGGTAAAAACAAAGTCATATTTAATGTTTGATTTTAAAATTGATACGTTAATGTATACATGGCCCTCTCTGGGACATGTTGTCATCAAAATTGTAAAATGTGATGATATTGAATATTGGCCATCGGCCTCCATGACCCCCAAAAATCGCTATTGGCCCTAAAAAAAAATCAATATCGGTCGTTTTCTAATATGATGCCCCGTCTACTAATTAATTCAGCCACTTACACAGCTGGAGTCACCAGCTTGCTATTCACAAACAAACACATGACTGGCTCAACTGTTCTGGGGAACTACAGTAAGATTCATAATGTAAAATAATGTGAAATGAACGCAATCTGCTTTATCTCCGAACGTATTGCACAAGTTGACTACAGGTATTTACTTAAAGATGCAATATGCAGAAATCGCTCCACCATTTCCTGGTTGCTAAGATTCTAATAGTTCACCTAATTACAGTTTCTGTGACAAAACAAGCAATGCATAGCGTAGAGAATGAATCATTGTACCATCTAAACCGCTGCAAAATATATTTTCAATAACCAAAAAGACAAAACCGAAAGTAAAAGACGCAAAAACGACAATTAAGAACGAGAAGCAGATAAATGGCGCACTTAGAACAGATCTACCACTTCTTAGACTTGCTTTCAATGAGAATTACAGATCTATAGCTCACATTTCTATGTGAATTTGGTCAGGTCGCCCAAAAAGTTACATATTGCAGTTTTAAAAAGTAGCTACAACTATTAAAACGTATGATTACCTTCAAATAAATAATTTTGACGGTATTGAAAAATCATCCTGTGGCTATTTCCAAATACCCCAGTATATCACCCAAGCCTTGTCTAGAGCCCTGTATTACAAGTTTGTTTTGGGGCTTCTCATCAGTCTTCTATTTAAATTGTGTTTCTTTGTGCCCTCGCGGTTCATCAAATGTGCACTACTTTTTGTATCCGGGTGATTCCTCACGAAATCAGGACAAAAAATTATCATACTTTTGGGGATTTTGACTAAATGTAATCAATTCGTAGAAGGGTCCTCTAGAAAGAAAGATCCCACTCTGGAACTCTGATATGCCCATGGAGTATATTATGTTCAATAATATATTGAAAAATGTGACAAATCAAAAATAGTATATTTTCAATATTCATGATTTCACCATGAGGCCAATGGTGACTTAAAAACAGTTACAGAGTTGAATGGCTGTGATAGGAGAAAACTGAGTAAGTCAATGTTGTTGATCCAATGTTTACATGCAGAGTAATAATTTGATATTAAACTGATTATTATGGCAGTAGGCAGAAGGCAGATTACGCAATAGTCATGATGCTTATCTTAAATCAGGGTCAAAATCGAAGTAAGCAGGCCTCCAGAGTGGCACAGCGGTCTAAGGCACTGCATCGCAGAGCTTGAGGCGTCACTACAGACACGGGTTCGATCCCATGCAGCCGGCCGCGACCGGGAGACCCTTGAGGCGGCGCACAATTGGCCCAGTGTCGTCCGGGTTAGGGGAGGGTTTGGCCGGCAGGGATGTCCTTGTCCCATCGCGCTCTAGCGACTCCTTGTGGCGGGCCGGGTGCATGCACGCTGACGGTCACCAGTTGTACAGTGTTTCCTCCGACACATTGGTGTCATGAATACAAAGCTTTATGTTTACCACTCTTCACATTTTCAAGCATGATGGTGGCTGCATCATGTTATGGGTATGCATCTCATGGGCAAGGACTAGGGAGATGTTTGGATACAAATTTATGAAATAGAGCTAAGCACAGAATCCTAGAGGAAAATGTTTGTCTAGCAATGATCAACAAACAAATTGGACAGAGCTTGAAGAAATGTTGAAAATAATAAATGGACAAATGTTGCACAATCCAGGTGTGGATTGTATCAATGACTCCTGAACAGCTCTTATATGCTGCTGCTACTCTGTTTATTATCTACGCGTAGTCACTTTAACTCTACCTACATGTACACTACCATTCGAACATTACATTGTGGAATAATAGTGAAGAGATCAAAACTATGAAATGACACATATGGAATCATGTAGTAAACAAAAAACTTAAATCAAAAGATATTTTATATTTGAGATTCTTCAAATAGCCACCCTTTGCCTTGATGACAGCTTTGCACACTCTTGGCATTCAACCAGCTTCACCTGGAATGCTTTTCCAACAGTCTTGAAGGAGTTCCCACATATGCTGAGCACTTGTTGGATGCTTTTCCATCACTCTGTGGTCCGACTCATCCCAAACCATCTCAATTTGGTTGAGGTCGGGGGATGGTGGAGGCCAGGTCATCTGATGCAGCACTCCATCACTCTCCTTATTGGTAAAATAGCCCTTACACAGCCTGGAGGTGTGTTGGGTCATTGTCCTGTTGAAAAACAAATGACAGTCCCACTAAGCCCAAACCAGATGGGATGGCGTATCACTGTAGAATGCTGTGGTAGCCATGCTTGTTAAGTGTGCCTTGAATTCTAAATAAATCACAGACAGTGTCACCAGCAAAAAGCACGCCACACCATAACACCTCCTCCTTCATGCTTTACGGTGGGAAATACACATGCGGAGATCATCCGTTCACCTACACCGCATCTCACAAAGACACAGTGGTTGGAACCAAAAATCTCCAAATTGGACTCCAGACCAAAGGACAGATTTCTACTGGTCTAATGTCCATTGCGCTTGTTTCTTGGCCCAAGCAGGTCTCTTCTTCTTATTGGAGTAGTGGTTTCTTTGCAGCAATTCGACCATGAAGGCCTGATTCACACAGTACCCTCTGAACAGTTGATGTTGAGATGTGTCTGTTACTTGAACTCTGTGAAGCATTTATTTGAGGTGCAACATTTCTGAGGCTGGTAACTAATGAACTTATCCTCTGCAGCAGAGGTAACTCTGGGTCTTCCATTCCTGTGGCGGTCCTCACGAGAGCCAGTTTCAT